ACCGGAAGTTAGATCGCTAAACCGGAAGTGAAATCGCTAAAACAGATGGTATTGTCATGTGTAAGCTTTTTCAGTAATAATTTTCTTAAACATCGCTTTTCTTTCTTCCTTTGTGCTCAAGCAACGTCTGTAAGTACCTTTCAGCATGTATCATTGAGTTAATACTTATTTTGGTTTACTAATTTTTTTAGAAATGGAGAATATTGATTAAGTTGGGATTTGCTAAGCTAGCTCCATGTTTGCTAATGTTGTGACTTCTTTTTTTATATGTCTTTTCCCTGTATTGTTTGTTACGGTTTTACAACATTCCCAGTAAACTTTATGGAATGAACTTACCGGTGTCTCCTGGGGTTATCGGGATTGTTTTAGCTTAATGGAATTAAGTCTATGATTAATATATAAATAAAAAGTTAATAAATAAAAATGAATGAATAAATAAAACTACATTACTTGCAGAAAAACTGATTGCAAGCAAAATGTATTTGAAGGACTTGAATGATTCTAAATGCATAGATATATGTTTTTGAAGTTTAGTGTCCTAAAAATATAAAATATATCAATTTTAATTAATTAATTAATTAATTAATTCTTTATTTTTTTTATTTAACCAGGAAGGTCCCATTGAGATTTAAAACCGTATTCCTGGCCAAGAGGCAGCAAAAGCTACAGGTACAAAATGTTTCAGCTACACAGACATGTTATGTTCAAATTATAGAAGGCAGTTACAACACAGGGAATCACACTCAGTCTGGTTTTAAATGTTTTCAACTCGGTTGATTTTCAGTTTTCCTGCAGCCTGTCCCATGCAGAAGGAGCAAAATGAACGAAAGCCCTTTTGCCCAGTTTGGTGCGAGCAAATGGAACGCAAAGTAACAATTGATCCATACTGTGATGTTTTCCAAGAATGAGAAACAGACACGGTACTTTGAGCTATCATAGCTTTTGTTCTGTTTATTCTGTTACACTCGTGCCATACACCACTTTCACTTTCTGATCTATTTCCGCCTTGGTGGCATCACTGACTTCCCGTAACTATGAACCTTCACTAGCAATGCTACATGACCCCCCCCCCCCCCCCCCCCCCTTTTTTAACAAGCAGAAATTAATCATTAACAAATCACGGACTCAGATGGGCGAACTTTACAACACTTATTAGCCGTAGCATTAACAAGCAAAACTTTTAACCATAGCTTATATGCATGCCTGTATACTACCATGCCCGAACATAGGCTAAATGTAGAAGACTACAGTATGGCTAATGACAACATCTGCACAGAGCAGAACGTAAAACTTTTATCATGCATTCAAAAACATTCCTCCATACAATGGATGAACTTAACTGCAGCTAATGTGAGGCACTAAACTGCCAAAGTAATGCAACACAGAACAAACCCACAGATACGTTGCTATCCATCCTTGAAATTTATATTTATTTTATTTTTTTTTTTTTCAACGACCATATGAACCTGGCCCGACATAATCATCCAAATATGCTGGGCGTCTCCTGCGACGCCGGCAGGGAGACCTTGACGATAGACCAGCAGCATCGTCATCCTCACTGCAAGTGCCAGGAGAGGAAGAATGGGTACCGGCATTAAGCTTTTTGAAGAATGAAGAGTTCCTCGTGATCATATGTTCATTTACTCTGGCAGTGACCATCAAGCCATTGATGTGTGTAACAACATGCGGGTCACCGTTGTATGATGCAGTCAGTTTACTGCGTTTAGGCTGTCGGTAGATGACGCTGTCGCCAGGGTTGAGGGTGCTTGGCTTGGCATGACGCCTGTCTTGATCTCTTATCACAGGGTCACCGGCATTCTCCACAGCAGTGGAAAAGTTTGGAATCTTGGTTTGCATTTTGCGCTGAAACATGACCTGCTCTGGTGCTGTGTGGGGTGGAGCGGTACTCCTGGAGGAATGTAGTGATGGTTTGCTTCCACGGGACGCTTAGACCTGCCGACACCCGAGTTGCTTTCCCGAGCGTGCACATGAAACGCTCAGCTGTTGCATTTGCTTGCAGCCATTGAGGTGTTATCTTCCTGTGACGGCAGCCCATATGTGTCAGGAAGCTGGAGAACTGCTCACTGTAAAAAGGAGATCCATTATCACTTTTGAGGACTCAGGGATTCCAACCATCGAGAATATGTTGTCCATGACAGGGATAATGGTGTTGGCTGAGGTGGATCTGACCATTTTAACCAATGGATATCTTGTGTACTCGTCGATGATGACAAACAGGTACTCGCCAGTCGGTAGCAGGCCGTAGAAATCGGCACTGACAGTATGCCAGGGTGACTCAGTTAAATCAGACATGCGCAAGGGCTCTATGTGCCTTAATGGAATATTTGTTTGGCAGCACAAACAGTTTTTAACCACTAGTTCTGCTTTATGATCCATGTTGGGGAACCAAACCTTTGATCTCAGCAGTATCTTTGTTTTTACAATGCCTTGGTGCCCCTCGTGGGCTAACGGTACCACCCTGTCTTCTAAAGCTGAGGGGATGATGAGTCTAGTGCCACGAAGCAGCAAGTCCCCCGTGACTGATACTGTCAGTTCATTGCGGATTTGTTTGTATTTTCTTAGCACCATCTTGCGTGTCATTGTCGATTGAGTCCCATGTGCTGTTCGATATGCAAGTTCTAACTCTTTGAAGGATTTGGTCCATGCTGGTTGCTTCTTTGATCTCAGCTAGAGTCATGGCCTTTGGCGGGGCATGTTGTACTAGGAAGTTGACATATTCTTCCACCACTTTTGTTGCCCTCGTGTGCTGTCTAGGCTGAGCTGAGATTGGGTGTCGAGATATGTAGTCTGCCGGGTTTTCCATTCCCTTTTTGTAGACCATTTGGAGGTCGTATGGCTGTAGTCGTGTGCCCCACCGTTCAATCCTTGAGAATCCTAGCGATGAAAGTGTTCACAATAGGGCTGCAACAACGAATCGATAAATTCGATGAAAATCGATTACTAAAAGCGTTGGCAACGAATTGCGTCATCGATTCGTTGTGTCGCACAACTCTTCCAAAAGCGCCCCCCCTTCCCGCCCGCCGTTGCGCGCAGACCAGAGCAAGTCAGATCAGCGCGAGGGAGAGCCGCAGATCAGCGCGAGGGAGAGCCGCAGATCAGCGCGAGGGAGAGCCGCAGATCAGCGCGAGGGAGAGCCGGCAGATCAGCGCGAGGGAGAGCCGCAGATCAGCGCGAGGGAGAGCCGCAGATCAGCGCGAGGGAGAGCCGCAGATCAGCTTGAGGGAGAGCCGGTACAGGCAGATCAGCGCGAGGGAGAGCCGGCAGACTTGAGCTGCTGCGAACCGGTTCCGCATTGTTGCACAGCGATCCAGGCAGCTGTTTCCAGCGCACGGTCCATTCTCAAAGTGGCGCAACCAAAAAACTATAATTAGCACACGATCGTTCATGTCCGCACATGTTCTCTATTTTCTGTCTTATTTGTGCCTGAAGCGCGCTACTGCGGAGCTCATCACCTGTGCTGTGGTGATGTCACCTCACGCAGCATCGAAAACGCGCTCTGCGCTTTTCGGTCAGGAGATCCCTTTGACCTGCTCAAAAGTAACTGATGAGGTGAAAAGGTAAGAATCCAGGCAACAGATTTTCTGGAGAATTAAGAGGAGATGCAGGAAGATGAGAGACAGACAGGACAGGAAAATAGTTCAATAAAAACAAGAAAACAAAACAAAGTGTTGAAAAGTAAAATGTAGGTATATTTATCTCCACTACACGTTTTTACCAGTAAAAAACAATAAGTTATACACATGTCATATTTATACATCTGATACAATTCAGATCACCTTCAAAACTCAGTCACACACCCAGGGCCGTTTCAAGACATTTTGGGGGCCAAGGCAAAATGCCCCCCCCCCCCCCCCCCCCCCCCCCAATAACTGGGCTCCCCAGAAGCCTCTGTGTAATTCATGCCCTCTCCAGTAGTGTTAGTTATATGGTGTTTATAAAAGCCCCTCAGACATTACTGACATGCTCTAATATTATCAGATGAAAAACTAAATTATCAGACATGCTGTCTCATCTGCTTATTTTATAAACTTGCAAAAAGTAACAAAACCATTTGAAAGCCACTATTTGTGGATTCTCTGAAAGTTTCCATGGAGTTTGTGACAACTTATTTTTTCATTGATCCTATCGTCTAATCTCACAGTTGAAACAAGCATCCTTAATAATCTGTGCACAGGAAGCTTACCGATGCTGTAGTAAAACAAAAGGTATAATAATTTATTATTAATAAAACCTTGTTGCAGCACTAAAGCAGAAAAATTAGATTTTGCATTAAATATGCAAAATATTTACATATGAATTGTTTTAGAGCCCTTTAATTGGCAGAATCTGATATTAATTTAGTTCTTACAAAAAATGGGTCCCAACATGGTTTGTGTGGCGTTGCCATAGTGTGACGTCATAGGCACAGATCCCCTGTCCTCTTGTTTGGAAATGGAAATATGGTCACCCTACATTAAACAAACTGTCCACCCGGGCTTTTGCACTGCACAGAGACGCTTCGCTGCCTACGACTGAACGTCAGTTGAGAGTCAGTCTCATGCAGACTGACCAATGAAGAGAGGGCCTCAAGTTAAGACCCTCTCCTCATTGGTCAGTCCACATGAGGTGGGTCAAAGGTTACTCTGGGCGGGTTACGTGTTGTCAGGCATTCAAGTATTGAGTATATTTACTGCATATTACAGTAAAATATTCTGTATGTAACTTGGACCAAGCATTTTAGGTCACAGATAGATGTAGCTTAGGGTCTCTGTCTATACACCTTATAAGACAATTTAGGTGATGGCATGTTGTTTTTCTGCTATTGAACTGTTTTCTAATAATGTTGTGTTAAATAAAGTGAAGGAAGGAGAGAAATAACGTTTCCCTAGCAGTTTTTAAAAATTTCCCCATGTAATCCGATTAATCGATTAATCGTGTCGAGACCCCATCCGATTAATCGATTATCCAAATAATCGTTTGTTGCAGCCCTAGTTCACAACTCCACACTATGGCTAGAGCTTCTCGCTTGGTCTGCGAGTAGCGCCTTTCCACGTCACTGAGCGCACGGCTGGCATATGCAACGGTGTGTCTTTCACCCTGTTGTCCAAGTTGATATAGAATGGTGTAACCTCAGTTATTTTACTAGAGGTGGTTCACATGAAAATCTTTGTGGTTTAACACCGAGTGGACCAGATCAAAAGATTCTAGACTCTGAGGAGCAAGTGGTGGAGTGACAACATGGACCAAGCAAGGTAAGTATAACAATGGTTTATTACCAGCATTTATAACCCACTTAATATATAACAAAGCGCTTTGTGAAATAAAATAAAAGGAAATAAAATAAAATAGTAAAATGAAATGTCACCAGTCTGTGTTTGTTCAGTCAGTCAGTCAGCTTGACAAATGTTCATGAAATCCGTGTCAGTCAGATCTTGGGTTGAAGTCGAGTTCAGGTGAGTGACAGACCAGTTAATCACCGGCTTGATGGTTCGGTTGGGTTGGGGCTCGCCATCCAGAACTGGAACAAGAATCTTCAATTCACCGAGGTGAATCAATCCAAAATAAAAAACCTGACCTAGAGAAGGTCAGAATACAATATTTTAACGCTGAACTGTGGTTTACAATCTGCATTAGTCCCATGAAATCAATTCCTTTACAATTAAATCACACGTTGTACAACAATTAATTCAGTTCAAGTAGGTACCATAAGATAATGAAGTCACTAAATTACCAATAAATCAGTTGAAATGAGTTTCCAACAAGAAATTCTGTAATAAGCTTCAACTTCTTTTCACATCACATTTTTATTAACTGAGCAATACAGTGTTTTAATTGGTCATTTAAAACACTCATCACCTCCACATCTATCCATCTTTCCAGTTAAGGTAAAACTGCAGGAACTAATATTTAAGTGCCAAGTTAGTTCTAACGGCTGTCGAAGGTTAGCAACGGGGCTAATATAGCTTAGCATGAATTAACACACATACACACTAATAGACTCACCAAGAAAAGTCAGCTTGGTTTACACGGGGTTTCCCAAGGGTAATTCGGACCTCTGTATCTCTACAGCGTAACAAATAACTTGTCACTATTACACAGCAACAGCACCTAAACATGAAAATTATATCCGCTTACCGAACTTGGAGTAATTTTTTTTCAAGTAACGGCTGCTAATGCATCCTAGTTTGCTCTTCACGGCAAGTGCTTCCTCATCAGCGTCTCAGCGCGTCTGAAGGCAAGTGAAAGCTGCATAGCGAGCAGCAGAAAGTGCTAAATTCTATTGGCTGATGCAATAGCTGGCTAGCCACGTGATTGGTTAGTCAGTTGCTACCTGAATTTTACTGGAACTTTCTATTTACTCGATTTTAGCTTTTCTTATTTGACTATTTTCAACAAGTTTGTATTTTCTTTTCTTTTTTTTTTAAACTATGAATGTATGAATGTTTAGATTTCTATTTATCTTATTTGGTCTTTTATCCTGTTTTAACTGTTTTGTAAATTTCCATTTAAATTTCAATATTCATTCTAATTGTGTAATGATGTTACTATTGTAATCTGGGTTTTACACCGGGTTACAATGGCACCCAAGCCAACGGGGCTAGCATCCACCACTAATTCTGTTATTTTATCTGGATCAAAGTATGCCATGACGGTGCCTCTTGTCAGACCGTCTTTGATGGTTTGCAGGGCTTGTGCTTGCTCAGGCCCCCAGTACCAAGGTACGTCCTTTTTGGTTAGTTCTCTGAGTGGCTTTGCAATGGATGCAAAGTCTGATAAAACGTGAGCAGTATGTTGCCATGCCAAGCAGGCTTCTAACTTCAGTGGAGTTGCTTGGGTCACTCGCTTCTTTGACGACAGCAACCTTTTTGGGGTCAGCGGATATGCTACCAGCTTGAAAAATGAATCCAAAGAACTCCAGCCTGGATTTGTTGAACTCACATTTTTCTCGGTTTAGCGTAAGGCCTTTCTCCTTGAGTCTCTGAAATACCAGTGTCACACTTTTGTCATAGTCTGCCTGCGTTTTGCCATGAACAATAATATCATCGCTGAGGTTTTTGATGCCGTCGACCCCTTGCAGTACTTGGCAAATGGTGTTTTGGAAATCTTCAGCTGCCGACGATATTCCAAAATTCAGACGTTTGTATCTCCTCAGGTCTTTGTGAGTGCTGAAGGTTGTGATGTATCTGCTGTCTGAGTGAAGCTCTAGCTGATGATATCCAGCTCTCAGGTCTAGTATCGAGAATACTGTTGCTCCATTCAGCTCATGTATAACGTCGTCCATGGTGGGAGTGAGTTGACTTTCTCGCTGTATGGCCACATTAGCTTGTCTCATTCTGACCTCATCTGGGTTCTTTTGTTTCGGTGGAGACACAATCGAGGAGACCCATGGTGTGGGGCTAGTCACGGTCTCTATGATGTCGTTGTCCTCCACCTTTTGCAGCTTACAGGGTTTCCCTTACATAGGCGTAGCCGTGGCGGCCCGCCACGGCTGAAATCCCACCTCCATGCCTACAAGATCCTACAAGAAGTTTTTTTTTTTTGCGCTGTTTCCCGAAGAAGCAGCGGGAACTACTATGTTGTCGCTGGTGATCACAGCCGGCGGGCAGCAAGGAGCAGGCAGGGCAAGGTGAAGTTACAGCATAAGTTACTGAGTTTAAAATTAGAAAGGTAGCAGTGGATATAATGCTTTTTGGTTTACATGTTTCAATAGCATTAAGATAAACGAGTGTTGACGATCTTGACAGGGTTTCCTCCAGTGCTTATTAGGCCAGGTTCTCCTCCCCCCACCAGGCTAAGCATCACTTATTCATGTAAAATTTATTTATTTTTTATGTCTGACTTTAACCGCATCTAATACTGTATTACGGCGTGAGCGCAACAGCGACAACTTAAGATCGATGTGTGCGCAGCCTGAGAGGTAACCTCCAGCAGGCTACTCTGCACTATTGATGTGTTAGCGCTGCACGCTAACAACTTAGCGATGTGACATGTCTCGGAGAAAGCGTAAAAACACGTTGGACGCTTCTTCCGAAATGGAAAAATAACACTTCTTCTTAAGCAGAGCACGACGTCGCCTCGGCTCGTTCACGGCCGAGCCGGACTGAGCTCGATAACATTGACCCAGCACAGCCACTGGGTCGTTGGAGCTGCCCCGTGACTGCCTGATGGAAAACCAGCGGGTTTCATCAGACTCGTAAATTTTCTTGTTTTTGCTGGGGACCCCCTGTATTTTACTAATCAATCGATTAGTTGTTTCAGCTCTAATTAGTTACATCTGACCTGTTCTATTTTTCTCTGAAATGAGATCAAATCAGTGCTTCTATGGGTTGTCTCCAATCTGCACTGGAAATTTTTACTTTATTTAGAGACTTATCATAATTTCTCCCCAAGCTCCCGGCTGCATATTTTGAGTGTAGGGAGGGGCGGGCACTCTATGTGACTGGCCAATCACAGAGCGTAAAGATAGTCAACACGTTACTGACGCGCATCTTGCTTTGAGAGATGGCGGAAAAAGAAGAAATACGGAAGAAAAATAGAAGCGAAAAAACTGAAGAGAAACCCCGGACAAAAACCTCACGAGTATGGGAGCACTTCACTCTAGATGCCATGAAAAGACGGGTGACCTGCAAAATATGCAAAAACCATCTAGCATGGCACGGAAGCACGACGTCCCTAAGTGAACATTTGAGACAAAAACATGTGGGGGCAAATGCAGCAGAGGAAGAGCCAGCCCGGTAAGTAACAGAAAATACACAAGCTAAATATACTACATGCAGATCAAATTTGGGACTTAGTGTTTTACCTGTGTTCGTTATAGTGGATGTTAAACATGTTTTTTTTTTTTTGCCGCGTCAGTCTACGGTGTTCTACTTCTGATTGACTAAATGCAATCGTGAATCTCCTCCGTGTTGTGTATCATGCGCTTGCCAAATTTAGCACGTCTGTTTATAAGAATGTTCTCGTTAAGAGAAAAACGGCACAAACCCATAACTATGTTCCTCATTCAAAAAGGACAACTCCGCGGTGAAAAATATACAGACGAGCTGTGTCCAGGTGAATATAACGCGGCATAGTTGTACACTTTCAATTTTTAAATATAGGAGAAATTCAGAAAAAGTCATTTTTTACTATTAAAAGGCTGTTTTACTATCTAACGCTGTAAAACGCCTCACAACACATTTTTATCATGTTTCTTAAACAGTATTACACAAATAAACATTTTTCACATTTCTCTAGCTAATTTAAACACTCCTGACTCAAAGTAAAAACCTCATGAGCTTCTTAGAGCTTTTTAATAGTAAAAAAAAATTGACCTTTTTTCTGAATATCTCCTGTTGCGGGCTATTTTGTAGAATGTAACCCTCAAAATAAATGATCACTGTATATTGTTAATTAATTCAAATAATATAATATTGATTTAGTGTTGTAGTGTGTGTGCTGCTTTATTTTATATGTGTACTTATTTCAGTCAATTTGTGTTTCTCATGCAGAAAAAAAAACAAGCAACGATGGACAACTACATGGGGAACAAGACACTCACCCCCCAGCAATGCATACCACTTACAAACTCTATTCTAAACATGCTGGTAAAAGACATGAGGCCACTATCCATGGTGGAAGGAGCAGGCTTCCAGCTAATGCTAAAAAATTATTCTGGACTGATATTTTGCACTGTTTAGCTAATTTTACACTGTAGACTGTGTTCATGTGCAATAAAATAGATTGAAGTCAACTGCACAATTCTCTTATGTTTTTTTTTTCTTAACTGAAATGCATTCATCACTTGTATAGGTTAAATAGCTAAACAATAACAAACCGATTAATCGAAAAAATAATCAACAGATTAATCGATTATGAAAATAATCGTTTGTTGCAGCCCTAGCTGTAACCACCCTGCCCTGCCTCCTCCTCCTCCTTGCTGCCTTCCGGCTGTGATCACAAGCAACAACAGAGTAGTTCCCGCTGCTTCTTCGGGAAACGGCGCAAAAAATTAAAAAATTAAAAATCAATAAAACTTGGGATCTTGTAGGCGTGGCGCTGGGATTTCTACGCCTATGTAAGGGAAACACCAAGCCCCCACAATGCGGCTCAAAAATTGAACCAACCCCGGAAGTACCAAAAATTGCAGTTCCACCCTCTGGGGGCTGGTGTCAGAAGCGAGCAAATCCTCATTAACTCCCATGTTAAAAATACCAATTTCACAGCAGAAATAATCATGTTTACAGCCTGGTACCAGAACATGTTTTTGGTTTAAATGATCTAGTTTACACTCATGACAACTGTGAGGGGGGTGAATTTTTTTCTCACTCTTCTGTTTAACTCATTCACTGCCAGCCGTTTCCTGATCACTAACGGCCTTCGCTGCCAGCGTTTCTCACCGTTTTTACAGTTTTTTTAAGAGTCACAGAACATTGCGTGCTAGGATGATGTTGATGCCAAAACAAAGAGGAGACTCACCCCTTACATCAGGAAGAATCCGCGTATTTCGAGCGTCATACGTTCTTTCATAATCCATTGTCGAATTGTGATCGGCAGACGCTTTTCCGGTTTGCGCCTCACTTTTTTTTTACAGGAACGGCCCAAAACGATCTCCTAACACATGGATGTTTTGCTTCCTGATCATGTGATGTGTGATGTATGCGGATGAAGATCGGCTTCAGGGCTGAGATGTTTGTTCTCTCAGCGTGGGGGCTCGTTCCGATGCTCAAACAGTAAAAAAAAAAATGCCAATGACGCCTTTAGTCGTCATTGGCAGTGAATGAGTTAAGTGTATTAAAAGCCTAAAATTCTGTATAATTAATGAGCATCCGACCCATGTGACCGCCGCCTCAGACCCACGTGACCACAGAGCTAGTTCCGTGGAAAGGCCTCAGTAGAGCCTCAGTCTGGCCTGGAAACTGTTCCGGCATTTTGAGTCTCTGTGTTTGTGTATTCTTGTTTGGATATTTTTTGTGATTATATATTAACATGTACTGTTTAACCTGAAAATTTAAATGTAATAGGGTAAAACCCAGTGCATTTAACATAATGCTGCACTTTAGAAAATGGGTTGAAATATAACATGTTGGTGGAGCTGGGTTCCCACTATCAGCTTGTAGAGATCTCAGGAGACTGATGTTTTCCACCCGTTCTCCCCTCCTCACAGCTCGGCGCTTCTCTGTCTGATCGCGGCTTCTGTGTGCTGCGCGGGCTGCCGGCTTGTGGAGCTCTGGAATGGAAACCTTTCCACCCGGTCCTCCCCAGCGGCAGCTTTGCGCATCTCAGATCGCAGCGGCGCTTGTCTGCTGTGCGGATGCCGGCTTGTGGAGGTCTCGGAGACCTCTGTGTTCCATCCGGTTTTACCCAGCGGTCAGCCCGGCGTATCTCTGACTCAGAAGCTCTGGTGTTGTGCACAGTTAACTCCGGTTGTAGCTAGGTTGCTACCTCCGTTAGCTTAGCTCCCACCTCCGCATTGGCTTTGGGTTAGCTTCAGGTTAGCTTGTAGCTAGTTCGACCGGGTGTCGTCTGTTGATCCCAGCCTTACAGCCCCACCCTCAGCTCCACCTCTCTTCCCTTTTGTGGAATTGTCTGGGCTTGATGGAACCTGTGACACGGTCAAAATGGTGGTGGTGGCCACCTCCCATTTTAGCACAAAAACGTATTATTGGAGTCTATGGAAACCCATTGTCCAATATTTATATGTCAATGGGAAACACTGATATATGCTATGTCGTCCTCTCATAAAAAAAGAAAAACAAAAAAATGTAGGTTACTAACATCTAATGTCAAGTATCACGCAAGCTTACATTTTAAACATTGTCTGTGAAAAATTACAACTACCTTTATTGAAGTTAGTTACAGGACAAGTGCCATATTTATTTTGTCAGCAGCTGAATCTCATTCTCCCTAAGCGTGATGCTAAGATGTGTGTGCTAGTTAGTAATATACTTTTCTTTTTTATGCTCCAGTTGGATTTTGGGAACGAGGGTGCCTATTCTAGCCACTGGGGGAGCTGGCTCCCTGGAGGGGCTAGGCCTCCCAGCCATTCCTCCCCATCCTCAGATATTTTCCTCCTCTTTCTTCTTCACATCACCACACAAACATGCACATAGAGATCCGGACCCCACGTGACTCTCAGTTAGTAGACGCCATTTTGGCAGGTAAAAAAAGGTAAACAGACACATGAACGTGAACGGGATCAGCTTAGATTTTACTTCGTCAGAGTTTACTTCACACTTTAAAACCGAAGAAATCGTTTTATATAGTCAGAAATTCTCGTCGTCTCGTCTTCCTCCGCTTATCCGGGTCCGGGTCGCGGGGGCAGCATCCCAACTAGGGAGCTCCAGGCCGTCCTCTCCCCGGCCTTGTCCACCAGCTCCTCCGGCAGGACCCCAAGGCGTTCCCGGACCAGATTGGAGATGTAACCTCTCCAACGTGTCCTGGGTCGACCCGGGGGCCTTCTGCCGGCAGGACATGCCCGAAACACCTCCCCGGGGAGGCGTCCAGGAGGCATCCTGACCAGATGCCCAAACCACCTCAACTGGCTCCTTTCGATCCGGAGGAGCAGCGGTTCTACTCCGAGTCCCTCCCGAATGTCCGAGCTCCTCACCCTATCTCTAAGGCTGAGCCCGGCCACCCTACGGAGGAAACTCATTTCGGCCGCTTGTATCCGCGATCTCGTTCTTTCAGTCATTACCCAAAGCTCATGACCATAGGTGAGGATTGGGACGTAGATCGACCGGTAAATCGAAAGTCAGAAATTAAATGGACTAAACATCTCCGACCCTTACCGTGCCCCTGGGATACTTTTTAAAAACGCCAGAAGCTGTCGGAGCTGACTTCTTACTGGACCTGGCCGGGAAACCCCTTGGGATTCCCCCGGAGGAGGAGGATCCGGCGGCTGGGGAGAGGGAAGTCTGGGCCTCTCGACGCTACTGCCCCCGCAACCCGACTCTGGATAAGCGGATGAAAATGGATGGATGGATGGATGGACAAATAACAGATTTACACGTAAGTAGTTTAAATAGAGTGCTGTGCTGTTTGAATGTATAAACTGAACGCCAAGAGAAATCTCACTAGTTTGATTTTTTTTTTCCTTGAAAAAAATAAATATGTCAGGCAGGAGCGTCTCAGGATCTGTCTGAGATCTGTCTCGGTGAGACAGATAATAGCAATCCAAAGTGCTTTTTATGTGTGATCTGACACTTGATCAAAAATGAAATACAGCTTAGCTGGTTAATTGCTGTGATCATAAAACACGGAAACTGCAGCACGCAGAACTCACGAGGCAACGTTTTACGTGATGTTTACTTGTTGCTATTAGTAATAAGACAGAAAAAGCCACGCCAAAATAAGTTCAGGAAGCCCACTAAGAATCGTAATAAAAGCATTCAAAATAAATACCACACACAGTTGAGGAAACGTTGGTTTAAGTACCTGATATGAAGCAGTCGCTGCATAAGTGAAATCCTTTACTCTCGGGGTCCCACAGTTTCATTTTAGCCCGGTCACTAGCGCGTTTTATTACAATGATCCAACGTTTGCGGCACTCCGGATCTTGGGGAATCCTGTAGAAGGATCTTCCCTTGACTTGTCCCCGTCTGTTCTGGCATCCTGGGGCACAACAGGAATCAACCATATTT